CTCCCACGACGAGATACAAAGATAAAAAACATTCCCTGATTGGACAAGTTTCAAAAGGCGAATTTGGCGCTAAAACGTTCTTGAAAATGGAACGGAAGCGGTGATTGGCTAATTTCGTGAAAGGAATGTTGTTCGGATGTGAGCAGCCGTTTCTTTGGGGGGAGCGTTGCGTGACATCCCAAAAAACGGCTGCGGAGGAGACTAGGTTTATCCGGGTTTGGATTTCAGAATATGGCCGTTGGCCGTATTAACGATGCGGCTGCATTAACAGGGTTTTCTTATAAGAAAATGTTTGGGTGTTTCGCCGGGACAAAAAGAAAGTGACCTTAATAATGGCAAGGTGACTTTATTAACGAGGTGACCGTAAGGCGAGGTGTTACTGTCCAGCGCTAATGGCTGCCAGGTTTGCAAAGAAGTGAAGAGAGGAGCCTGGAACTGGTAACTAAAACCGCACCCCAGGAGCCAGCCAAAGCTCGGAGCATGTTACAAAATGGAACCAATCTGGATCAAACACCGACAGGACACACACCAGACAAAATATGACGGGATATATAAAAGGTTTCCAGAAGTTTTAGACGAGGTCAAATTAAACTGCAATTCACATTTGTATCCTAAAAATGTTGTTATTTGTCGTGGACCGCATACGCTAAAAAGTCGATCATCTTTTCTACGTTAATCAGTTCATATTTTTTTGGTTTACACGGCTATGATAGCAAAAAGCCTTCATCATATGCTAAACAGTTAACCTCATTGACACCCTAACTTATGTGTGGGAAAACTACTTCTGTTGCAAGCTAAATACTGACCAGGCGGAGACGGTGGGTCAAAACATGCTCATCCCTCCCCCACAAGGCGCTCACGGTTTGCTCGCTCGCTTCATCAATCTCTCCGACTGGAAAATGGAAAGGAAATGTCTGCTAGATACGCTAAGCTACTAGAACCGTGGCTATTTCCTCCGTGGAAAACCAGTCCAACGGCAAGTGTGTGATCTGGTATTTTCCAGACACATTCAGGCTTCAGCTAATCGGGGTTCGTGCGGTGATTTTGTGTTTAACACAGATGTTTTTTTCGGGGGGGGTGGGGGTGGGGGGTGGTATGGGAAAGAGCGCTTGCTATCTTCCCTCGCCAAGTCACATTTTTGCCGGGCGAGATAGATACCCATTTCTTTTTGGTGTACAATGGTTATTAAAATCTGACGCACAGAGGAACTCTTCAAGAGGCATCAACTTCATCCGGCAAAGGGTGTCATACAATGATCCCTGTGCTTTGGGTTACTGGTACTTTTAAGAGGGTGGCAAACGTGGGGTTACAATTACGCATCACGCTGAAATTTTATATGAAATCACGCATCCCTGTGCACACTTGTACAGCCTTTGTTTTGCTCATAGCCCCTTTTGAAATTGTATAAGCCCCGGAATCCAGGGGCG